GAACACAAAAAACTTCATATATATACATGCTTACCTTCTTGTGCCAAACAGAGGAGCAAAAAAGACAAAATTTGGAACCAAGCCATTCTGTGTAAACAAGACGACAATGATGCATATACCAATACGCCCCAAAGACACTTTTGTACAAAACTGCATTTCTTTGAAAGGAGAGGTTTTATTTATATAACATGATATGACATTAGGGTGACCAATTGCAGCACTCACACTACATACGACATATTATTATTCACGTGATATCCATTTAATCGTAAGAACATGTAATTTGCTGATTTTCAGACAGATATATGCATGTACTGTTGGGATTACGCTCTGCGTTTTTTTCCTTTAATGATAGGAAACACGACGTGCTGAATTAGCCAAAATATATGTACGCAAGTACATGCGCCCATCAAGAGAACGGAAAACGAATTTTAAACAAAAGCTATTTGTATACACAATAAGCATCATTTGGTATCGTTTCTCCCTTAATTCTAAACAAAACTAGACTACAAAACTTAAATTCAATATTTTTATTAGTGTGGTTGACTCTAGAATAAACAATAGAATAATATTAATTTCATTATACTTATCAAATTTCCCCTTTGACTATAAGGGTACTAATATATATATATATATATATATATATATATATATATATATATATATATATATATATATATACTGTAAATGAGTGAATCGGCGCCGTTCAGGTTAACAAAAGAGAGTCGTCGGAGCACAAACTCTGTGCCTTGGGTATTTATTGTCGGATTTCTCCTGGTGTCAAGGAATGACTTAGCCCGTATGCCACAAGTTTAAAGAGGTTCCACCAGTCCATTCTGGACACTTCTTTGGTAATTTATAGACGATATGTGGCATTTCTCTACATACCGGATACTCGTGGTGACTACTTATTTTGTGCAGTAATGGTACCCAGTATGTAAACCGTCAGCTCTTTATGTTATCTCACCAGTGTGAATATCGGGTGGTCTCAAGAGGGGAATTGCTTTGAGATCTGCAGGCTAAAACAAAATCTGGCCGACAGGTTTTCCAGATAAACAACTACAAAATTACGACACTCACAAATTAAATTCGATGGTGGCGGAACTGCGACATTATGAATAGCTCATGCTATTCTACAATCCAGGGCGGATCCAGGATTATTTGAAAGGGGATCCGTATTTTAGAAATGACAGGCCTCGGATGCGAAGCCGACCCTCCCCCCCCCGCCGCCCTCCCCCCGTGGGGGGCGGGGGC